ATATATATATATATTTATTTGAAATTTATATATATATATATATATATATATATATTTAAACATTTATATATGCATTTATTAATGTTTATATTTTTTTAAAATATATATAGTTTTTTTTTATAAATAAAATTAAAAAAAATATACTAAAATATACATGTCTATGAATAATAAATATATATAATTAAATAAAAAAATAAATTTTTTTTATAAAATAAAATTAATATATTTACATAGAAAAAATAAAAAAAAAAAAATTATTAAAATATTAATATATTTAACATTAAAAAAAATATTAAAATCCATTTATGGATATTTATATTTAAACAAATAAAATTTTATATATATACAATTATTATAAATATATTTTTTATAATTATATATTTATTTATTTAAAATATAAATAAAAAATAATAAATATAAAAAAAAAAATTAAATTTAATTAATTATAAATATTTATAAATATTTATATATATATAATATTATATATATATTAAATTTTTGAGTTTAAAATTTCAATTAAATAATTAATAAAATAATTTAATTACATAAAATTTAAAAAAATAAACTATAAATTATATTTTAATAAATTAATAAAAAAGGTTACTAATATTATTATATATTTATTTGTTAATTTTTTATTTTTTTAAAAATATTCATAATTTTACTAATTCAAATAATATCTTTGTAGAAAAAAATATATAATATAATTATAATATTTTATTAAATTTAATCTTTTCAATATAAAATATAAATTTAAAATAAAAATCAATAAATAACAATTAAAAATTACTTAGATGTAAAAAATTAGATCTATTAATTTTTGGCCTTTCCATACTAAAAATGTTATAGGGTAAAGCTTATTTTTAAGTTAAAAATATTTTCTTTGTATAAAAGCTATTCTTTCTATTTACGTTATTGCTTGTTTTATTATTCATTAAATAGTATCAATAGATTGGAAAATATTCTAATTATTTTTTATAACAATATGGGGATTTTATGCAACTTTTGCATATATTATGCTAAGTTTTATTCATAATTTATTAAACTTTAAACAGAAAAAAAATATTAGTCAAAATTTCGGTTTATTTGGAAAAATAATTCATGTGTTATTCGAAATTTCATTTTCAGTACAGCTTACAGTTACATTATTATATTGGGCAGTAGTATTTCCCTAAGAATAAAAAGATATATTTGAAATTTTAATAACTGCTTAATATCATGGAGGAATGCTTATTATTTTATGGATTGATAATATTTTTAATAACATAAAATTCTACAAAATTCATTTGGTTTTTTTATCTATTTTCATTACTGCATATTTAATTACTAATTGTATATATAGTGTTACTTAAAACGTTGAAGTTTATCCAGGTCTGAATTGGAAAACATTAAAAAGTTATGCTATGATACTTGGGGCTACAGCAATTGCTTTTTTGCATTTTTTTATTGGCCATTACTATTATAGTTATAAGTTAGCAAAATATAATAAAAATTAAGAGGTTGATAAATAAAGAATTACTTCATAATTAGATGAAGAAAATATAGAAAAATATATTATTGATGAAAAAGATTATGTAGAAGAAAAATCATCAACAGTAAACTAGGTTAATTAATAAGTAAAAAATTATAGATGAATAATTTATATGGAAATCATATATAAACAATAGCATTTATATACATAAATTAAAATATATTGTAAAAATATAAAAAAAAGTATAAATATATATCATAACATGTATATTTAATTAAAAAAATATAGGATATATTAAAATTTTTATATTATGTTAGTTTTAATAATTATTATATATATTTTATTTATTTTTTAAATATATTATTAATTTTATTCTTTTTATTAAATTTTATTTTATTTAATTTAATTTATATTTATATATTTAATTTAAAAATTTTCGCTATATTTAAATTTATACATTTAAAAAATATTAATTATTAATTATTAATTAATAATTAAATATATAAATATAACTATAAAAACTATAAATCTAAATTTATATTTTTTTATTCTAAATAAAAAAAAGAAATTATTCATTTTTCTTGTTATTGATTGAGTTTTATAAAAAAAATATAGAAAAAATAAAAATTAATATATTAAACAAAAAAAACGAGAATTATTTTAAAAATTAATAATTTTTATTTTTTTAGATATCTTTTTTTTTAATCATATTAAAAAAATAAATAAAAATAAATTATATGAAAGAGATTTCACTATATTTCTCAAACATAAAATTAAAACATTTAATTTACTTCTTCATATTTAGAATAATAAATTCAGTATAATAAATAAAGAGTATATATTTATATAAAAAAAAATATTTTATTAAAAAATAAAGTTCTTATTAAATACATATTATGTTCCTGATGAATACTGGCAATCGTTAGAAGTAGCTCATAAAGAAGTATTTGGTTATGGATATTTAAGTTGGGAATGGAAAGTTTAAGATCCAATAAGGACTCCATTACATATGTTAATATTTGCTTTTCTTTATAAATTTTTAAAAATAACAGGTTTAGATTATCCATTATTAATAGTTTATTTACCAAGATTATTATCTGCTTTTATAGCTTCACTTCATGATTTTTATTTACTCAAACTTGCTTAAATACATTTTGGTAAAATATATGTAGTCCCTGTGATGATTTTTAATTTTACTAATTGGTTTTCTTTATTTGCTTATCCTCGTTTAATCATAAATAGTTTAGAATCTACTTTATTTATTATAAGCCTTTATTATTACAAATTATCTTTTTAAATTTCTAATATTAAATATGATTATATTTCACGTTTATTAGTAATTGTAAATTTTATAATGAGACCTACATCTATTATTCCTTTTGTCTTTATTTGGGTATTAATTATTATTAGATAAATAATATTACATATTCATATTGTCTTTTTTTTTAAAAAAAAAAAAATCAATCAAAAAATAAAAAAGGTTATTAGCTAATTGATTTTTAATTATAATAATAATTTTCTTGAAATTACAAATGATTTTTTGTAATTTGTTATAAATATGAAAAAAAAAAAATTATTTTATATTAGAAAATTATTAGTCAATGGCCTTTTTTTATGTTAATTAGATTTTTAAAAAAATAAAAATAATAATATAAAAAAATCATATATAATTTTTATTAATTTATTTTAAATATTAAATAAAAAAAGCCTTTCAAATTGTTTACTATGTATGGAGATATGAGAAAAAAAATAAAATATTTTTTTTTGAATGTATAAACTTTATTATTGATGTTAACATTTTCAATTATTTTTGATATTTTATATTTCTAAAAATTTACATGGACAGTATTAAACTTCTTCATAGTAAAAAACAAATAATTAAATAAACGTTATAAAATAATATTAATATAAAATAATAGTTTAATGTAGTTAAAAACTTTAGTATAATATATGGAACACATGATAAATTATGGTATTTTACAGTATGTATTCCTCATTTCTTTTTAGCTAATCTTCCTTTTTTATTATTTGGCATATTTATAATATTTTCTTAAAAGTTAAAGTCAAAGATATCTGAATCATAAGATATTTTATATGGAACAATTTTTTATATAATTTTTATCAGTATGATAGCCCATAAAGAAAACAGATTTATATTAAACGGTTTATCTATTTTAATACTTTATGCTGCATATGGATATTAAAATATGACTTCTAAGAAATTATAAAAGCTTATTTTATTATTAGGTATTCTTTCCAATATTATACTATTTATTTTCATGGGTTTTTACTTTTAGTAAGGTTCTTTTTCTATTTTTTCAGAATTGAGAAACAGAATTTAAAACGTTGATTCAGTTTATTTTTTCACAGAATGTCATTCTACGCCTTTATATTCGTTCTTGCACAAAAATATTCCTATGGATTTCCCAGATTGCAGTCCTGAAAATAGACTATAAGAAATTTCAGACTCTCTTTTATTATTTAAAGATCCTTATAATTTTATTAATAATGCTCTTTCCCTTTTTAATTATAGTCATATAGTTTTACTAAACACTTTCACTAATTTAGAAAACATTCAAGAGCTTTTAAGTTAAAAAGGTTATTAAAAAATCAAAGAAATATTTCATTCACCTTTTATGGAGAGTCCTATAGGAGATTTATCTAATGTTTATTTTGTATTATATGAGAATAATAATAAATAAATTTGAAAAGTATACTTTATTAAAAATATAATATTTATTAAATAAATATTAATTTTTTTTATTTTTTAATAATAATAATTAACAAAAAGATAAATTAATTAATAAAGTTCTATTTAGATAGTTATTAGAAAAAATTAATTTATATATATTTATCTTTTAAAAAATAGTAATTTTATTTACATATATTTATAATTAAATATTTTCATCTATAAAATAATACAAAATCTTAAAAAATAATACAGTAAGTTTATAAATATTAAAAAAATTAAAACATAAATATCAATAAAATATTATAAAAAGAAATATATTTTTTATAATATAAAAATTGTTAAGTAAAAAATAATTATTAATTTTTTTAAACATTTTTTAAAAAAAAAAATGGATAGCAAAACAAAAATCCTAGAAAACAATTTTAAAATAACATAAACCATATAAACTCGTCGAAAATAATTATCTCATCCAAACGCATTATAATTAGATAACTAATATCTCGAAAAATAACCCTAAAAAGAACTCTAAAAATAGTCCGAAAAATAATTTTAAAAATAAAGCTAAAAATAACAATAACAACAACAATAACCACAAATCCCTTAATTCCAATTTAGAATAAAAGATCGCAAATTAAGTAATAATTCAATATTTTAATAATGCTTAGAAAACCCAAAAATAATAAAAATACAAAAACCTTCATAAACATATAGAGCAACAAAACTGGATTTTTTCTCAAAAAAAACTCCGTCCTAACCATTATCATCACGTGAATCTAAAAGCGAACAAAGTAATTTAATAAGGCTTTTGAATTTTTCAACTCCAAATAATATTATTCCTTCTCCACAAACAGAATTTAAAGCTTTTTAAAACACCACACTTAAAAATGAAAATGAACTATAAGATTAATTATTAAAAGAATATGATAAAATAATGAACTAGAATCCTGAATCAATATAAAAAAATATTCTTTTTGCACTCCAAAGTGTTTTTTAAAATCAACCTACGTAATAAAAAATACCATAGTCTTTGTTTGAAATGCTTATTTCATTTAAAAAAAAAGAAAAAAATCAACCTGATAACCATTTAAAATTAAATTAGTGGACTTATGAATAACTGAATTAAATATTAGCTAATAAATTATAATAATATTCTTTAAAAAATAAATAAATTCATGATCTTTTTACTTTTTCTATTAGTTAATCAATTCGTATTTTATGTAATGAAAATAAAGAAAAAATAAATTTAGTATTGTCAATATTAATATGCTTTTTAAAGTCTTCAAGAGAATATAGTTAATAGAACTAAACAGAGATATATAACGAAAAAATTGCTTCTTTAGAAAACGAAAAAAGTAAACTGTAGTAATAATTGTCAAATTTAATTAATTCATAATCTAAATATGAATAATAAAATAAAGAAGCATAAAACCAAAATACAAAATTAAAAAAAATAAACGAAATTACAAAATTCGAATTATTAAAAATGCAAAAAGAAAATAAAAAATTATAAGATTATTTAATAAATTTAAAATATAAAAATAATAATATAAATAATTCAAATAATAAAAGTTTTGATGCATCACCGCTTTAAATATCTTTTAATAATGTTTTGAATACTGCTTTAACTCCTGATAATATTAAAAAATAAAAAAAAAAATTAAATAATTAATCTTTTATATAATAAGTAATGATAAAGCATGATTACTTAGATAATGAAGGTATTATATAAATTAATTAAGAAACATAAACAACATAAAATGATAAAATATTTAAAAAATATAAAAGTGTAAAAATTTAAAGCGAATTAAGCGGATTATAATATTAAAAATATGATAAAATATTGTCTTCAAAATCAAAATTAGATGAAATTCTAACAGAAATAAAATTAAAAGCAGACATATTAAATTTAAACTAAGGAAATTTTGCAGAAGATAATATAAATAATATAGATTTATTCTCATCAGATTCATTTAATTCATCAATTAATAATTAAATAAATAATAACTATATAAATTTATAAAAAATTAATAGTTATAATAGTAATAATAGTAATAAAAATATTAATGATAATATTAATAATAATAATAATAATAATAATAATAATAATAATAATAATAATAAATTAGAAAAGCCAATTTTGACTGATATTTTTAAAGGACTTCCATATAATAAAATTAAAAATAAACCTACTTAAAATGCAATTGAGAAATTCATTGAAAATATAAGCGCTATTTTCGCTATATTGTTAGATAAAAAAGAAAAAATTAATAAGAATAATAAGATAATATTTAATCAAAAAATCTGAAATAAATAATACAACATTCAATTAAAAAAGAAGAATTAAAAGAAATACTATAAATGAATGAAATAAAAGAAGTTGATGAATAATAAGAAATAGACACTCCTTAAGTACTATATATATATATATATATATATATATATATATATATATATATCTATTTTAATATAATTTTTTTCAAGATACGAAGATCTTCTAAAGTATATATTAAAAATAATAAAAAAAAATTTAAATTAGCTACTTAAATTTTCGATAAAGAAAAATAATAATAATTATTAAAAAATTAAATCTAATAAACTATTTATAATAATATTATTTTCAAACTTTAAAGAGATAATTCTCCATATCTATTTTCATAATAATAGAGTTTAACTTAAATTGAAGAATTACAGTAAAGTCGTCATTCTTCGATCTAAAAAAATGTTTAAACTTAGCCAAATATACAAAATATCAGCTAGCCTACATCTCCTTCCAAAAACACAAAAGAAGATAATATTAACACTAATTCACTTAACTCTTTAGAATAAGATGATTCACATACCCAATACAATGATTAAAAGGATATTTTAAAAAATCAAATTATAATTTTTATCTAATTATACAATCTGGAAATAGAAAAAGTAATAAATTTAAAATTTTCATTGGAAGAATTAATTAAGCTACTAAGGGAAATGTATTAATTATGTAAAAGAATGTTTCTTCATATAAAAAGAACTTAAAAAAACACACATAAGTCAGTAATTGAATAATTTATTTAATCTCTAACTTCTATAAAATGGAAACTTCCGAAAGAGTTCGACATGTAATTTTTTGAAAAAGACATTTTAAAATAAGAAGATAATACTTTAAAGAAAAATATTGGAAATAATAATATATAAAAATAATAATATAATTCTAAAAAGTTAATGATTAAATACTTATAACATATTTAAAAAAATTAACCATTTAAAAAACTTACTATTTAAGATAAAAATCTACATACAGGAATTATTTTAATTAAAAAAATTAAAGAAAGTCCTTCAATTAAAAAATTTAATTGTTATCTTCCATTAAAAACAACAATTAAATATATTTAAAATTTATACGATGAAAGAGTTAGGATGATAAGAGAGAATAGACTTCCTAAAGACTAAGAAATGAGTATTTTTTCATTTAATAAGTTTTTGTAAATATTTGGCTTTAAGAATGTTGCTGAAAGCAAATTTCTTTAGTTTTTACTTTCTGTTTTGAATTATTAATAAATATTTAGGGTTAATAGTTTTGGGAAGTTAATTGGGATTTATAGAGATTTTTCATTAAATTATAATATTGATTAAGTTTAAAAATATTTTTAAGCTTATTAGTATATTATTAATGTTTCTAATTTAGGCCCTACATAATCTTGTTATTCAGAAACTGATTCAATACTTTTTGTAAAAAAAAAAAAAAAAAAAATTATAAAATAAATAAAACTAAAAGGTTTCAATAATAAAAATATTAGATTATATAAAAGTATAATTAGAAAAAATATTTCCGAACGAAGATATATTAGAACTCCGTTAATATGTAGAATAGTCAAAAGAAATAGACATGAAATCCTCTAGTAAAGTCCAAGTAATAGATTTTGATATGTTTATGTCTAAAGTATTATAAAAATACAAAATGATATTATAGAGAACATAATAACATGTCAAAAGTGCCTTTTTCGCAGCAGATTTAGACAATAATGAAAAAATAAACTTGAACGAATTTTTAACTTTATATAGGTTTTTGATGCCTTAGTAATTTAAGCTTTTAAAATAAATATAAATGTTTGATGAGCATGCTGATATATTAACTGAAACAGAAAAAAACATTTCCTTTGATAAATTTACAGCTTTGTGTATTGAATATTCTCTTTTTTCTACATAAATATAGTATTAATATATTGGAATAATTTCCGAAAATCAAATAAATGATAAATTTACATAAATCAAATAAAATTGGGAAACATCATAAAAACTTGTTATTTAAAAAATTTAATAGTTAAAACCTTTTGTAACATAAGAATCGTATAAAAGCTGGCTTCATATATTCAAAGTATTAGAATATAAAATTTGCTAATCAAAGCTAGACGAAAAAAATACTCCTTTATCAATTTTGATTGCATTTAAAATATTAAATGATGAATTAGATCGATTAATTGGAGAAGAAGAAAAAAATATTAATGATTTCGATGATAGTGAAATAGATATTTTTGATTATGAAAGTGTTAATAATGATGAAAATAATTAAAAAGTCAATAGTGATTTGGATGAAGAAGAAGATTTGAATGAAATTTAAAATTTATTGATTAATTTCAATTAGTAAAGTTGTACATAAATTAATTTTTATAATTAAAAAAATTGAACTACTATTTTTATTGCTTTATTTTTATTTTTGTTTTTTATATATTTTTATAAATTAATATTTATCTTAAATTTATTTATTATTAGGAAATTAAAAAAAAAAAACATTTAATTTATTATATTTTTTCTATTCTTTTTTCGTGTTCAATATTTTTATCCACCAGGGAAATATCCTTATTCGTATTCGATTCCACGAATATAGTCTAAAATATATAATTAAAAATAAAACTTTAACAAATATATTTTTTACAATTATCATTGTTAATATAAACGTCAGTTTGTAATTCATGTTCATCTGGATATTAGTCTTTTTTTGCTTATGCAATTGAAGAATCAATAACTTCTTTAACTTATTCATCAATATTCTTTAAAAAATAGAAAGAAAATTAATTTAAAAAAAAATAATAATAAAATAAAAATACTTCTAACTCTTCTTCAGTAGCAAGTTTATGCTCTAAAATAGTATTTTTAATCAACAAAATGCAATCGTGCTTTTATCTTTATTCTTTCACTTCATCTAATGTTCTATAAGTATTTCCAGAATCAGACATAGAATGACCATGATATCTGTAAGTTTTACATTCAATAAATAAAGGTCCATGTTCGATTGCATATTGTTTAGCCCATTTGAATCCTTCTTTTACATGGAAATAACTGTTTCCATTAATCTATACAAAAAGAATAAAAAAATTTACAAAAAAATAAATAAAAAAATTACTCTGATTCCAGGAATTTTATCACCTCTAGTATAAAAATCAGTATTATGAGAGCCTTTACTAACACAAGTACCCATAGCATAAAGATTATTTTCACAAACAAATAAACAAGGTAATTTCCATAAAGCGGCCATATTAGCAGCTTCAAATAGTTATCCTTAATTTGCAGCACCATCTCCATACATAGTAATTGCAACATTCTTCATTCCTTAATATTTAAGAGCGAAAGCTAATCCTGCACCCATAGGAACCTTTTTTTTTATTTTTATAAAATATAAAAATATTTTTTACCTTATAAAAAATAAAATATATTATTTACCTATGCTCCGACAATGCCATGACCTCCGTAAAAGTTAGTTTTTTTTCTATAAAAATGCATAGAGCCACCTTTTCCTCCTGTTGAACCTGTCTTTTTAGCCATCAATTCAGCAATAATTTAATGAGGAGTATCTCCCCTTGTATAAGCATGAGCATGACATCTATAAGCAGTTATTAAAGGATCATCAAAATTACAAGCAGCCTCAATTCCAGTTATTATTGCTTCCTTTTTTTTATTAATTATTAATTATTTATTTTTTATTTATATTTTATTTTACTTAACCGTCATAAAGATGGCAAAAACCTCTAATTTCTCTTTCTTTGTAAAGCTTATCACATGCTATTTCGATTTTACGTATAGATTACATATCCTTGTATAATTTCAAAAGCTCATCTTTTGAGACTTCGCTGTGTGTAGGAAGGCTTGGTTTATCTAATCTATAAAGATCATAAGGAGGCTTTTTTATTTAAATATATTAAGATAATATTAATTTGTTGATGATTTTTATATTTTAATGATTTTTTTATTTTATATTTTGTAAAATTATTATATTTTATGTTATGTTTAAAATATCTAATTATTATTTTAGAGGAATTTTGTATTAATATAAATTATTACTATTGCTATCTTGATAGAAGAAAAGTGTTTTTAGATAAGTCCATATAAATATTTTTATTAAAAATGTGGGAATACTTTTGAAATCATTTATTTATATATATATATATATATTATTTTTCTTGATTTTAATTTATATTTATTTTTTTAAATAAAAAAAATATTTATTATTATTATATTTTTTAATATAAATAAAAAAAAAATATATATGATTTTTAATTTTGCTTTTTTTATAAATTTTTTATTTTTAAATCTATTTTTTTTAAAATGAAAAAACAATTAAAATATTCTCATTTTTTATTTTTATAATTAATATATTTTTAAAGTTTAAACTATTTTTTTAAATTTAATTTTTAATTTAAAAATTGATTTTAAAATAAAATATTTTTTAATATTTATTTATAATATTAACAAATATAGTTTTTTCCTTTTTTTTTAAAAAAAAAAAACAGTAAATAGAAAATATTTATATTTTTAATAATTTTATAACTTTAATAAACAATCCTTTTTTTTTTTTTTAATTTTTTATATATATTTTTAAAAAATAATAAAAAGCAAAAATCAAATAAAAATAATTTAATACATTATTATAAGCATAGTAAACATAATAGTGAACAATCTTCTTATAAAAATATTAAAAAAGTAAACATAATAAAATAAAAAAATAAATAAAATAAAAAAAGCAGATATGAATTAATAAATAAAGCCACCATAATAATATAAACATTCTTATTAGAAAGAAAAAAAAGTAATTTTTTATAAAAAAGTCGTGTTAAAATTGTAAATTTTGTGAAAAAGAAACAACTTAAATATAATTTTTACTAAAAAATATACATAATAATTATTACGATGCTTTTAATTTTTACTTTGCTAATCCTATAAACGAAATATTAATAAATTGTTAGACATCTAAAGTTATATATTTTAAGGACTGTTAATTTTATTATGATGACAGTGAATATTTAAAAAGATATTACTAAAAAAATGAAACAAGTTCACATCTAAAGATTCTAACAAATTTTTTAAATAAATAAAGTAATTTAATAATGCCTAATACATTAATAACAAATTGTTCTAAAATAATGTTCAATTATAAATATAAGTAAGAATTATTAAAATAATAACAAACTTAATAAAAAAATTTAAATTTTAATAATAATTATAATTATAAAATATAAAACTCAATGAAAATATTATAAAGTAAATATATAAAATTTATAAATATATTTTTTTTTTTTTCTTTAATAAAAATTTAGCTCCACATTAATAAACATATGAATAAAGTAAACAAATAATATAAGATTTTGAATAATCTAAAAATCTTTTAAATTTAATCTTATTTGAAAAAGAAAATCCTCCAAATTTAAATTCTTTTATTGAAAATATGGTTAATAATAATAATAAAACCCAGTTTGATTTTAACGATTCAGAACGCTTTTTATTAAATTCATTAATTCTTGAAAGTGAAATGAAACTAAAGCCTTAATAAAAGGAAAAAAATTAAGAAAAAACATAAGATATGTAATAATTTATAATATAGTAAATTTAAAATACATATAAATGCCTGACTGACCGAAATCATTAAAATGAAACTTCTAAAAATAAAAAAAATGAAAAAAATAATTTTAAATAATATATATCTCCATAAAATGATAAAAAACCTTAGAAAAAACATATTGGAACAAAATTAGACCTTGAAAGTATATTAAAGCAATATAAAAAAAAACTATAATTCCACAAAAAGACAATAATATTTAAAAAATAATTATAAAGAAATAAGAAAAACCTCTTACAAATAAATAAACAGAAACCTAATAGTCTAATATGAATACACCTAGAGATTATATGTGTTTTATAAAAGTTAATAATACTGAAATTGGAGAAACTAAAGAAAACTAAAAGAGTATTAATAACATAAAAAACAATCGAACATAATTAAATAAAGAGAACAACAAATGCTTATTATAATAAATAGAAATTAAAACTTAGAGAACAAGTGCTTCTAATAATAATAATTAAAAGCAATAAATATTAAAAGTATCAATAGAAAAAAATAATTAGCAATAATAGTAATCTTTAAATAGCCCTCTAAAGATATATAAAAGTGAAAGACTTTCGTAAAATATTAAAAAAGTAAAAATATAATATAGAATGAATTAAAAATAACAAAAACAAGAGCCAATCAAAACTTACCTCAAACTAAATAAAATAAAATGAAATAATAATATAATAAAAAAAGCTCTTTTTTAAGCAATAAAGATCATGCTAAGACCAATACTAATAATATTCAACATTTATAAATTCTAAATCTTTTCATAAAAACACTTGCCATAATAAAATAATAAAAAACGTTTTTGATTATTATTAAAAGCTTAATCGAATTTGCAATGAAAAAAACAAATAACTCCAAAATAAATATCTATAAATATTCCTCCTTCTCCCCAAAAGCAAAATTTATTTAATTAATATGAAATAGAAAAACATTAAAATAATACATCTTATTTAAAAACTACATAAACTACAAATAGCACATATTAAGAAAATAAAGAAAATAAGTAAATTAAAATTAGATAATTAAGTAATAATTATATTAATGTGAATAATGAAAACATAAATACTATGAATAATATTGAAAAATAATAAATTAATAATAAGTCATTAGAAACTAATAAAAATATTAAATTATCTTAAAACAATAATAATTTCAGCAATATTATAACACTTAAAAAAACATAAAAAATATAATAATCTAATGGATTTTATTCATAAAGATCTATGTAATCAAAACAAATAAAAGGCCAAAAAAAATAAGGGGAATAATAAAAAAAGAGGTAAAGTATTAAAAAAAAAATGATAATAGATAAGCGAATAATGTAGAAAATAATATAAAATATTAAAAAAAAGATTCTTAAAAAGTAGTAATTCTATGATTTCAATTTAAAAATAATTAAATAATGATAGTATTATATAAAAAAGAAAAAAGAAGATAATGAAAAAATATATTAATTTAAGCTCTTTTAAATAATAAATGAACAAAAAAAATTAAATTAATATTTTTTAAATAAAAAAATTATATTTATAATAAAAAAAATATTTGATAAATGTATTTATAAATAAAATAATATATAAAAAATTTTAGATGTATTAGTTTAAAAAATATAATTTATTTTTTAAAATATTACATTTTTAATAATATTTTATTTTATTGTCCAATTTTTATATTAAAAATTAGATAAAAATTATTATATATAAAATTTAAAATTTTCTTTAAATTGATTTTTTTAAAAAATAAATAATGAAAATAAAAAAAATAATAAAAATTTAATTAAATTATGTTTTTTTTTTAAAATATATATATATATATATATATATATATATATATAATTATTATATATATTTTTTATATTTATAATATACTTATAAGTTATATAATATATTTTTTTAAATATTAAATTTTTTTTATTGTATAAAATATTAATTAGAATGCTTAAAATAATTATAATTAAAATATAAAAAAAAAATAAAGATTTAAAAATAAAAATTTTTAACTTAGTTTATTTTAAAAATATTAGTATTTCTTTAATCATCTATACTTTTTTCATTCTCCAATACATTTTACTTTAAATAAACTAAACCAATGATCATCTTTTTTTTCTTTTCTTATGCTTATTATAATTTAGTTATCCTTTATTAAAATCTTTGATTTATCAGCATCAAGTTTATATTATGTTCTTGGAACAGAGAATTATAGATTTTTTCCATTAAATTAATTAATTTTTAATTCAAAACTAGATTCAAAAAATCTACAATTGATTAAATTTTTATCATGTAAGTGTATTTTAGGAATATCCAATTATACTCTTTTATATAATTTAGTATTTATTAAAATTATCTTATAATATAATTAAGTTTTTTTTATTTTATTACCTTATCGTCCATTCTCCAAATTCATAGAATGAAAAATTTTTAATAGATTCATAGTAAATTTTTTTTTTTCATTTTTAGATATTGCTAATGGTTTAGGTGTATCTTTTTAAAAAATAAGTATAAATATGCATATTATTTTATTTTATTTACTATAAACTATATAAATATCACTTTTTTCAGAAAAATAATTTGTAAAAAGCATATTTAAATTTTAAATAGGTTTAGCACTTTTTTATAAAAAAATATTTAAAATAATTATTAAAATTCTTATTTAATTATTTAATAATAATCTTACTTTTCATTTTTTAATATTTAAATATATTAAGGATTTAAATCAGGTCTATATTAATGAATATCATTAATAAAATGAGATAATGTATAATCATTTTCCAATTCATTCTATGAAATTTCATGTATATATGTATTAAATTCTTCTTATTATTGTTAATTATTCTTTAAATGAATATAAACTTTCATTTTTTTAGATTAATTAGTTTTAGTAAATAACTTTTATTATTATTATTATTATTAAAAATCATAAAAAAAAAATTTAAAAAATAATTTAAAATAAAAATATTTATAATTAATATATTTTCTAGAACATTATTTTTAATTATCTTTTTAAAATATTTATCTTAATTTAACAACTCTAAAATAAATTTAGTAAAAAAAAAATAAAAAATAAAAAAAAATATTAAAAATAAAAATTTATTAAAAAATTCAATTTATAATAAATATATAATTAAAATAAAAAAATATAATTAATTAAAAATAAATAAATAAAATTATTAAAATAATTTTAGAAGAATAATATAAAAAATAAATAAAAAAATATGTATAAGACTAATAATTTAATATCTCAATAAACAGAATTACAGTAAGCAAAATCTTTTATATAAAATAATTCAAGTAAAAAAGGACCATAACATGTATTTAATTTACTAAAAGCTTAAAAAGATCGTATATAAATGTAAACGAAACTATAAGCATTATAAAGTCGAATTAAATTATTAGAAAATTAAGAAAAATAGAAAAAATCCTAATTTGTTACTACATAACGTAAATAATTTAAAATAATGACATCTAAAAATTTTCATACAGAAAAGCTTTAATTAAAATAATATACAAGATAAAATAGAGAATAAATTGAATAACAAAAATTAAAATAAAATTAAAATACAAGAATTACATAAATATAAA